AATCCCTGAAAGTCTGAAAAGCTTCCCACATAACTTCTACCAGTTTTTTGGCTTTGTTGGGATTTCACATGCTTCTTTCTGTGCTGACAAAAAAAAAAAACAAAAAAAAAACAGGATTTTAATGAGGTTTTGTTTATTTTAGAAATGTCATTTTCTTGATTGTTACACTTAGCTTTTTTTTTGCCTTTCTTCTCATCTCTGATCATTAAGTTTCTCACATACCATGAGCAGTACTGCCCTTCCACAAGACCCTCGTAGAAGAGTGGCTGAAAGAACAATTTGTGTTTATACTTTGGGCATGTTTTCTTCGCTGTATTGTATCATTTGAAGGTTTTGTTAATCTCTTTGGGACTTTCAGTACAAAATCCCTGAACTGTATAAAGCCACGAGAGTTTTAATCAAACCGAGGTTTATGAAGAAAGGAGACAGAACACTGGAGAAACGGACTATGCAACAGGTCTAAACTGAAACGTTGCTTAAGCCTGTCTTAATTGGTCTCCTTCATGTCATTAAAGGAAAGTAAACTACCTTACAAATCCTCTGACTGAATTTGCATGTCTCCCCTCCGACTGCCTCTGGCAACTACAAATCTGGGAGAGTTTCTGGTGTCAGATGTCTTCTTTTGAGGATGCTTCTGCTGTGTATTTACACTTACCTCTGCTCTTCCTTCTCATCCATGCAAGTGTTGACAAGTGCTACCATGGGAGCAGTAGCCCCCATGTTAGCCCTGCCTGCTGCTCGGTACCTGTGCAGCGCAGCCACAGAGATACACAACCTTCAGCTGCAGCCTGCCCAGTGTCCTTGGGTTGGAAACACAGATACCTGAAATGGTAGTACAGGCATCACTGCTGCCCAGAGTAGTTCTTACTGTCAGGCATTGAACTATGTAATTATCTTCCACATAGCTTTAAGTTCACTGGCAAGTGTTAAACAAATGTCGCTGCTCATCCTTTTTTGGTGTCTCATTTTTGAACAAGCAGATCACAGCTCAAGTCTGTCTACCCTTTCTCCTAAATTATTGACCATGACTTTACATAGTAAATTGCACTGGCTACAAATGTTTGCTTAAACATAATTCATGACAGAGTTAAAGAGACAGAGCTTACATATCATTTTCTCAGTCAGTAAACAACTGATGTTAATTTTGGCATTTCTCAGTTTCCGAGTGCTTAGTTTTCAGAAGATAGTGTTCCTTTCAATAGTTGCAGTCTATTTAAATAATTTTCTTATTAAAAAAAAAAAAACACAAAAAGAAACCCAACAAAACTTGCACTGAAAATGAAATTACATCCTGCAAAATCCTCCTGACCCTCTCTTTCTCTGGAAGACTACCACTAATTTACAAGCATTGGAGACTAGCTGAACAGCCTCCCCCACATCACATCCAAGTTTCACCAGCCAGTGCAGGTGGATGATAGGCACCTTTGCCATTTCCCACACAGGAAGGAGGATGCAGCTGGAGTGAAGGATGAGATGGCACTTTTGGGTTGGTGGCAAGATTGAGGACGAAACAGAACATACACTGGGGAAATCAGCACTCTGCTGTGTTTAGGTCAACCAAAGAATTATCACAAAGTTTCAGAGACCTTGTTTTTTTGATTCTAGATCTTCATAATGAAATCCTTGGGGAAGCACGAGCCGAATTTTTTTAACATTGTTTAATTAATAGTATCAATGAATAAAAAAAATCAGTCCTTAAGAAGATGCTTGGAGTGGGCATTTTATTGAAGATTAAGTGCAGCAAAAGTATAAATGGCTGAAAACAGGCACTTCCAGTAGAATTTCTAAGCAGCTGGTTGACAAGCTGTAGGTCCTAGGTTTAGTCATTTAGAGGTATCTTCAGAGTCATGCTTTTCCTTTCTTGGTGTTACAGCTTTTCTTATCCTTGCTGATTTCATTGTGTTGTTTCATCCTCATAAGCACTCCTAAATGGTTTGTGTCACCTCATCTGTAACCATTTCTTAGGCTTATTTAATGTTTTTAAAGGAATTCTCTGCCTTCCAAGAAGACAGAGAAGGTAAGCAGCTAAATATATGTAACACATAACAGGTTGATTTTATTGATACTTGGAGAATTGTCCTGTAAATCTCAGTCAAAAATGGTTGTGGTTTTACTTAAAACTGGTAAGACTGGATCATTGCCTTATTTAATGGCTTTACTAGAGCACAGTTTTCTCCTGCTTTTCCTATATTGTAAGGTCATTAATGAATCATTATCTATTGCTAGTAATTTCTGATCTCTTGAGAATATTGGTTTAATTATATAGGAATCACAAGTGGAAGATGCAGTTACATATTCTACAATGTATGTAGTATCTTGGTGTATTATGGCTTTAAAGAATCTGTATTCCTTCTTTTTTGTAGATTTTAATTGCTAAGTATGCCTAGTAAAATATGAATTACTGTATTACTGCATGTGATAAAAGGTATACTATTGTGAGTCTCGCAGTCTGCAGGTGTAACAGATGTAAGGCAAGATTAACAGGACAGAACAATAATTAAACCACAGACAGCCATCTCAAAAAAAAATGAAAGAAGAAAAAAGGTGTATCATTTCCAATGCAATTATTAAATGTCTTAAATTCTCTGCAAATATTTATAAAGGCAATAAAAACATGTTAGTTTGAAAGACAGCTTTTCAGCATGGACACCTACTTTAAGGAATTAAGATCCCTTTTTATGAGTATAAAAGCTGAGTGAAGTCCTGCCATATGGCAGCAAGGCGATAGGGTCCTCGGTTTATAGATGCTATGAGCTAAATGCTGCTGAAAAAAGTAAGAGAGCAGTTAGTAGATAGGCATTTACAACAGCATGAATTGCTGACTCCCTCTAAAGAAGGTTCAAATAATTAATGGTAATATTATAGTTGCAAAAGGAAGTCCAGTTGTTCTTCAGCAGTCTACATCTGTGAAGCGTAATACCTCTGGGGACTGAGATTTAATGTTCACAGGAGAAAATATAAAAGCAGGAGAAAAAAAAGGAATGACTTCTGCTTGAGCAGAATAAACCTGCATCTACAAACAATTAACACTACATAATGAAATAGTAAAGGAGCAAAGGAGATTTCTAATAAAAGACTAATAACAAATCCCATTACACCATGGTGTATTTTTTCCCTTGAAGTGTATTAGACTTTTAGCAAGGCTTCTGAACGAGATTTGGGTAGCTGCAAGCAAAGTCAACTCAAATGCTTCAAGCTTAGCTGAAATTTCTTGCCTAACAGTTTGTGCAACTTGAAAGTTGTATTTTTACAGGTGGGAGGGGTTGTTGATGCAAGTAATAGGCTTCACACAGAGTTTGGGTAATGTTTGCGTCACCATGGGATAATATTCTCCTGTAGGCTAGGCACTGTAGGGTAATGTGCCACTATATGGTAAAATCCCTTAGATAGAACAGACATGGTGTAAAATTCACTAGCTAAGCCTTGCTTTTGTGTTAACAGTTCTTCTGATTTCTCTTTCTGAGGCCTGAAAATGAGTCCTCATATGAAAGGGGGTTGATCACAGAGGAGAATACAGAGTTTGTGTTCTGTCATTGCTAATATTGTGACTTTTTTAATTACAATGCCTTTCAAAACCACGTTTTCACTTTTAAAAGAGAACATGCCTTGCAAGGGAAAAAAATGTGTAGTGATCTGCACATGGATGTTTTTGCAGTTTACACATATGGTTCCAGTGGAAGGGGGAATAAAAGTTTAGTGAACAAAACCTTGACTCACAATACAGGCCATTTGAATTTCTTTTATGACAGTCTTCTTTGTACAGATTGTTCCTATCTTAAAAGCTTGTGCACAACTGACTTCTTGGAATTCATTTGTCTAAAAATGAACTTTTATTACTGGAGTCAGGAGAAAAAAAAAACCCAGATGCCTTGAGCCAACAATGAGTTCTGGGACAAAAGTGGTTAAACGTGAATTCTTAGAAGTGAAACTAATCTTGATGAAATTTCTAGTTGCCTTTTTAGAAATTCTTCTGAGTTTTAAAGAATGACTTAATTTGCTTAGCAGAAATTTGCAATCAATCTTTTCTTGCCACTGAATAAACAGATTCCACATGCGTAGTAATTTGCATATCCCAGCTAAAAATGTAATTCATTATTTTTAAGTCCATTTCATAATAACTATTTCAGGATTAATGTTACTAACTATTCTTTAGCTTTTTCAAATGTGACCTTAGATAATCCTGCCTAAAAGGTACAAAGCTAGCAGGTCTGCTCTGGAATAGGAAAGTTTCTTTCTCGAGTTCACCAAGTAAGTCAGTTCAAGAGCTGGAACTGGAAATAAGAAATCTTGAGAAATAATTTTCTTCTACTATCTCAAGCTTCGAGACTCAAGTAAATATTGCATTTAGTAAGACAGATTTTCATATTTTGCTATGTATGAAAACAGCACAGCTATGAACAGGTATGAACTGTATAGTCTACATGCAGGTTACCACTAAATCTGGTAAAGATTTAAATTAGGTTTAATCAAAGTCGCATCCATAGTATATTTTACATAGAGCTGCAAACACTGTTATCAATAACAGAGAGGAAGCCTCTTGAAAGTGAGTGTGACCCAGTCCATCTTAACTGCTGGTTGGCATCTGCCACTGAACTGCCTTCATCTTGACTGGGCTTTTCAGGGCTTCTCAAAAACCACTGGCTTCACCTTCCTGGTTTTGCTGTTCCAGGTTAATTCTTGCGTTAACATTTTCTCCTTTGTGTCTTTGATCCCTATCACATTAAATAGATAAAATAGAGTATATAGGATTGATATGTTTTGTCCTTTGAGGTTTACCACATAACAATATTAGTCAGGTAAGCTTCTATAGTCTGTAATGTATCAATAGACACAGCAACATTTTACAAATACAATTAGTTAAGCGATTATCACAGATCTTTGCATTTGCAAAATTTTCTGGTAAAATGTTTCAGATTGTATCCTGGGATATGTATCTTGACTTTACCAATTGGCAAGACAGAGAAGTACAAATCACCTCTTTTCCTGGTTTTTTTTTTCAGGCGTTGGGTAAGGCTCCTGTTCGGACGTGAATTCCCACTTCAGGACCTTCTGGTTGTCTGGGACGCTCTATTTGCTGACAGTATCACCCTGAATTTAGTTGACTATATTTTTGTAGCCATGTTGTTATATATTAGAGATGCCTGTAAGTATCAGAAATCTTTCGATCTTTTAAAAAAATGCAAACCTATTTTTCAAAGAAAAAGAGGATTTAAGAAATGCTGCATTTCATTGTGACTTTTCTAACATATTGAAAATCATTCCAAATGCTAGGAGAGGACCTGCTTATTATCAGATGCGGTCTGCTGTATTTATGAAACAAATTGTATCTTGGAGTTAAATGCAGGTTTGTTTTCTGAGTAGTTCTGTGTTTTTATATAGAGTTGCAGATTTTATATGCAGCAAGTGATACAGGTATGTATAGAGCTCCACCTTCTGACCAGGCTCATGAATTGAGTTAAGGCTGCCTTTGACACTGGAAATACTTGTATCCAGTTCTGCTGTGACAAATGTGAAAATACACAAGACAATGAGTTATAATTTTCGAAGGCATATCTCAAAGTACATGTAAATGCAGAGATAAGTAAGAATTACAAAATATGTTTATTATGTACACAAGTGGCATCTTTAAAAAGTTATCATTTCATCTTATTTTACTACACCTAAAAGATGTGCAAAGGGGAATTCTTATCAGTTAGTGATGACCAGTAAATATGTTCATGTGGGACAAACAAGAAATCACAAAAATGTGAGAAACCTCATATAATTGTGAATGGGAGAAGGAAGATCTGCAGTGATTGAGACATTTACTTCTGTTGCACCGTATTTTTCATGAAATTCTGTATACAACTTTGCTGCAACAAAGAGTGCGTTTTGCAGCAAGATGTATGTCTGTCATTACATATATGAATTCTGTAGCATGCTGTTCAGAGTTAAATATATGCAATCTGTAAGTTTTAGGTTATAACAGGGTCACATATTTGACACAATTTTGTATTCTAGGACACATGAAGTTTTCAACATCTGTGGTTCCTATTTTAGGGCCCAATCTTGAAAATATAACGTGGATATACTTTACATGTACTGTCGTTCCACTGCCTGCCTTCATGTGTTTTTTTAATGACTTCTAAATAAACATGCATCATATAGAACTACCTTACATCTCTCTCAAAGAAGTGGGCATTTAATTCAGTTTAGAGGTTTCAAAATTAATGCTGCTGTTTCAGGATGATCTAATTCCAGGTCATTATGTTCTGGAATTGAAGTCTGGCTTGTTTATGTGCAGTAACCTGAAATAATATTAATTTTTTTGGAATATAGATGTAGTGCACATGCATGTAAAAATGTTTCTTAGCATCTGTGTTTTATTTTGTGTCATCATTTCCCCTTCAAAAAAATCCCAAACTTTAGAACTGTGTAAGCACCCTCTATGTTTCTGGGAGGGAATGTTGTTCTGGGTTTCTTTTCTTTTGCTTTGTAGTGCTCATGCAGAAGTATCAGTATAAGGTAGCTGAAAATGTGAGCTAAAAATGTGTTCTAGGCATCTGGGCATCTGTGTGAAATCAGTCTCTTTTCTCTGAAATCCCCAGGCTTAGTAAATAGAGTAGTAAATAGCTTTAAAGTGGAGTACATTTGCCCAAATGAGATGCAAAGACATCTCATCAGAACAGCTAATACTTATACTATACTGTAATTGTAATACGTAATATGTTTCTGTAATAAGTAACTTTTTGTTCTATAGTTGGACTTAGTTACCCTAAGCATAATAGAATGGTGAAACAAAATACCCAGTCATAAATACTGTAAAGTTGAATACATTTTCCAAGTCAAACTCAAACTATAATGAATCCCACAGTTCTTGCTTTGATACAAGAAAGCTTTTCTTATATATGTGAAATAGAAAAGTTTTCCATTTTTCCTCATTCTTTTATTGATGATATATGAGCTTTAAATGGAGTTCAAAGTTCTGGGACAATATTTTTTAAAACATTTTCTAATAAATTGAGTTTCTAAAAGCTTCTCTTTATTTGGTGAAAGGAAATGTTAGCTCAAAACATACAATGATGTTAAATAAATTGTCTGGAAATTTTCAGTTTAAAAACTTCAAAACGGTAGGAATAATAACAGAGCTCCTAACATACTATGTTCTAAAAATGTCAAATATAAGCACGGATAATAATACAGTACTGAAAGTATTTGGAAGTTTAAATTTAAATTTTTCAGATTCTTTTATACCAACATATTTGAGGGTGGGGGAGAAGTTGCTGTTTTAGGAATTGATGGGGGTTTTTTTCCGTGTTCTATTATTATGTTCTCAAGGACATGATTTTAAAAGGTATTATTTCTGCTATATTTTTCATTTTATTTTTATTTTAGTTTTGAAATCATGTGTTACTCAGATAATATATTATTTGAAGGGAAGGGAGCATTTAGATGATTGATTATTGTTTATACATTTTAGACATTACAGATACATAATCATGTATTCTGTAATCTATTCTGTAAACTGTTCTGATCAGTTTTACATCTGTATCCAAGCACAGCTTTATTCATGGAGTGATAATCCTCAAAAGCCAAGTGTGGGGTTGTGTACCAAAGTATCTGTGAATTTTAATAAATTATCTTATGGGTTTCTTTGGAAAAAAATCATGTAAAACATCCTTTTTTAATATTTCAAATCAGAAGCATGAATATGTTAGTTCTTCTTCACCAATATGGATGTATATGCAGTTGCTGATGAAATCAGAATAGAGGAGAGGGTGCAGTGCAAAAATACATGTAATTTATATACTTCCCTTTCCTTCAAGAAGAACAAAAATGAAAAAACCTGTAAGACCTTTAAAACTAATGTCACTGTTGCACCAGGAGCTAATTTTGACTGAAGAGTGTTCAAATAAGTATATTTTTATTGTGTTCCCACTTGAAGAACAGCTGTGTTCACAGTAGAAGTTGGATCCAGATGTGACTGTTACCAAGCCACTTAGTGAAGGAAAAGCACAGGTACAGAAGCACCAAGCTTATTACAAGGCAGCTGGCCAAAGTGTAAGATATTTCACCATTGAATTTCACCACCATACAGCTACTGCTGAGAGTAGATAAATTTCTACTGCACAGAATCTCCTTCCAGAAACTTTTTTTCCTATGCTTTATTCTTTATCCTTTTAAATCAAATAGACATATTCAGAGAAGGTGTCTTTGTTTTGGTTTAGTGCTATTTTCTTTATCATTTTTAACAAAACTGCCACTCGGTTGGATTATATTATACACTTTGTTCTGAAGATGCAGGAAGTCCAGACTAGTCCAATCCCATGCCATGGGCAGTGGCATTTCACTACGTCGTTTGAAGATGACTCAAAGCCCCTTACAACCTGACCTTGAACACTTTGAGGGATGCAATATCCACACCTTCTCCGGGCAACCTCTTCCAGTGGCTCACCACCCTCACCTTAAAGAATTTTTCCTTATGTCCAATACAAATCTCCCTCTTTTAGTTTAAAACCATTACCCCTTGTCTCATCATAACAGGGTCTACTAAAATGTTTCTCCCCATCTTTCTTATAAGCCCCCTCTAAGTACTGAAAGGCCACAATAAGGGCTCCCTAGAGCCTTCTCTTCTTCCTGCTGAACAACCCCAACTCTCTCAGCCTTTCCTCACAGGAGAGGTGCTCCATCCCTCTGACCATTTTCACAGCCTCTGGACTTACTCCAGCAGGTCCATGTCATTCTTGTACTGGCGGCCCCAGAGCTGAACACAGGACTGAAGGTGGGGTCTCACGAGAGCAGAGAAGAGGGTCAGAATCACCTCCCTGGACTTGCTGTCTATTCTCCTTTCGATGCAGCCCAGGATATTGTTGGCTTTGTGGGCTGCAGCACACGCTGCCAGCTCATGGGCAGCATACAGATCATTGTGAAACAAAGGGTACCAAGAGGTCTTTCAGCAAAGAGATCCCTTTAACCCAAGGTTCCCCAGCAAATAACACACCGGCGACAATGTTCTTTTCTGTAGATTTCTATGGGAAAAGGGGACAGCTGAATATGCGAGGAAAACCCTAAATATAAAATAAATATAAAATTCAGCAGACCTTCCTCAGTGAAGGTTTTTTAACTTCCTTTGGATAGTAAAGTTTCATTTTTAAGTTTAACTTTTAGGGATTAGAGGGGGCAAAGGTCATTGCCCAACAATTTGATTCCCCCCTCTTCCATTATTTGCTTCACTATTATACATTTCAAAATATTAATAATTAGGGTAGATGTCTTGTGGGTGAAAATACATTTCTTTTGTCAGGAGTCAAGTCTGCACCACTAAAGTAAAATAGCTTTTTAATATTTACTTTATATCTGTGAGACAGTGAAGAGCTCTTCCAGGAAAAATAAAGAAAGAATAATTTTAATCCATTTTACATTGCAGAATAAAACACGTATTGATCTGTTTGAAGTAGAAATGTGTTCATCTCTACTACTTATCGTTTATAAAAGTATTTAGAATTTAGTATCAATTTTCAGTGTTTTTATTTCTTTGGTCAAAAGTCATCATGGTCAGAACTGCAGTACAGTATCTTAAATTTCATTTACGTATGAGAATTTGATTGGGTATGTACGATGTGGTGCTAGTATTATACTCCTCTGAAAGAACACTGATGGAGACTATTGTATTGTGTTCATTATGCCAGCTTTGTGACTTCAGGAAGAAAAAACACGTACCTGGATATGAACAAGAAAAACAAAGGGTAGGGAAAAGAACAGGCAGAACAGATAAAGAATGAGTAGGATAAGTGAGTGCTTTACAAATGAAAGCAGATGTATGAAATTACAAGCTGTCGGATCAGCAACGGAAATGAAGATGATAAAGTGGTTCCCTACACAGATTATAATTATTCATTTTGCCCAGTCCTGCATCTTTTCCCCATAATCCTCTTGTTGAGGGAAAAAAGGTACAGGAGGATATGAGGCTTATTCGCCTGAAAGAAAAAAAGTAAAACGTTTAAATCTTTCTGTCCGCAAAACAGTCCTTTATATTGCCTTTTATTGATTCAAAATAATTTTGTATTTGGAGTGATCCTTTCTGGTGGAGAGGCCTGATTAATTGAAAGTGTTTGCTACTACAGCTGAAGTTATCAGAATAGTAAAGGTTGTTCAAAATTTATTTACAATTGCTGTTGTTGGAAGCTGCCTTTACATTGCAGAGTGCAGGCATCATTAGCAGGCATTGCTTTGACAGCTGTGGCAGATGGATTGCCTGGTTTTAGATGGTGCAAAAGAAATGAAGTAGCTTACATAGACCTGCCTGAAAAGATTTCTTTAATAATTGCACTCATAATTAGATAGATTTGGGGAACAAAAAAAAAAAAAAAAGAAAAGGAAGACAATGACAAGCAAAGAACCATAGAGTGTACTACATAGATTCAGGTAAAATCAAATAGAACTACAACTAAATTATCAACTTTAGCGAAACATGCTGAAAATTTCCTGAAAGAGAAAAAAAACAAATGTAAGCTAATGGTATATTGCATTTTTTAAATATTTATGAAATTAAAATCTAGCCTTTTTCCTGAACATTTCATGTATAGTTTCTGAGTTATAAGCAAGAAGTTCATGAGTTCATTTTACATGTGTGTATATACATCTATGTGAGCATGTATACGTATATGTACATAAGAACAACATAAAAAGATACTGCAGCAAAGAATTGTCAGTGAGGGAAAGTTACTGTAAAAGCAAGACCAAAGGTAAAATTTATCTCACAGATTATTATACTTAAATATCTATCTGCAGATGAGTGTCTGAAAAGTCAATGTCCATTTCAGAGTGTAGAACTGGTTCTTCAGGCTTCACTGACTGTATTGCCCTGACCTCTGCTGACTCAGGCAGGCTTTGGGTGCACAGCTACAGAGATCTAAATTTAGGCGTCTAAATCTAGAGCTAACATAAATGTCTATGACATAAAGTCAGTGGTAGCTTTAGCATTGCCCTTAATGATACTGGACAAAGGGTAGTCATGAAGCTTGATTATGCAATATATGAGCACTTATATATTGAGCACTTCTTTGAGTTCTAAGAGACTTAATGTGGAAAAAGACAGCTGAATCTGAATTATAATGAATCAACTGGAAAAGGTATTGATTTGGAATATCAGAATAAGATAGTAATATTTCACTAATATGTCATTTTTCTCCTTTTCTCTCTCTCTCTCTCTGACTTCATTTGCATTGTAGTGATTTCAAGTAATTATCAGACCTGTTTGGGACTTCTGATGCATTATCCACCTATTGGAGATGTTCACTCCCTTATCCTAAGAGCACTTTTTCTCCGAGATCCAAAGGTGAGATGCTCACTTTGTAAATACAGCAAATAAATCTCTATAATAAAATGTTTTAAATACTATGAAGTTAATAACAACCTGCATTTTGGGCACTATGTTGTTTTTTCAAGTTTCTTCTTACCTGACCAGATCAAGAGTTGGTAACTAAGAGTAGAAGCAAGTTCCTTTACTCTTCAAAGAATTCTATTCTACTGCTTTGGTAGACTTATCCAGGAGCTCTCATAACTGCATATTTTTACATTCTTTAGAATAACTTTGCTTGGTATTCTGTACAGACACCAAGTATACTTTCGAGGGAAACAGGTTTTATATAGTAATTTTGTAAGCTATATAAGAAATTGTTATGCAGTTTCATCGGCAAGACCTTTTTCATGGGATTACTGCAGATTAATCACTGTTAATTCCTGAAGCACTACCTCTGCCCAGTATATAATAGTTATGTGATGGTTTTCAGTTAAAAATAAGAGACTGCTTTTCCAGCCTGAAAAGATCCATATGAATAAAATGCACACATTCATGATTTTTATGTTACATATTACTAGCACGCGGTTTCTGACATACTCATCAGGACTAAAGGAAAGCAAACCTCTTTATTTCAGAATGGCATGTGCATATATGTGGTTATCCACCATACAGTGGATAAAGTGTTTGAGATGAAACTATATACCTTTATCTTTGTAGTACTGAGATATTTGGCAGATAGCAGAATTTGTGCCGCTAGTTTTGAACTGTCTTTGTGCACGTCCCATTAGTAGGCTGCCAGTGTAAAGTCTGATTTCCCTCATCTTGATGCACGTCACCTTTGTAAGTGAAAAATTCATCATTTCTGCACTCTGACTAGCTTCTGCAAAATTTCATTCAGTACCAATGTTTACACTTTTATGGATTAAGAAAGAAATTGTCTCTTTGTTTCTGTATCAGTTTTTTGCAGAAATCTGCATCCTTACAGCTGCTTTCTTCATTCCTCTTGGCACAAAGGTTTCTTTCATGATGAGAAGTAAAATATATCATCTTTTCAGTACGTAAGAAAGTTTGTAATGTTAGATCTCAGGAATCTTTCTTAAGATTTCAGCATCAGTCTGTGAAATCAGACTGCCCAGACTGTCTTATCAAAACAAGATAGAAGTATTTTTTTTAGAGGGAAGATGCAGGGGGAGGAAAATTGTGCCAAGGTATCAAACTAGATCCAGTATGTAATCTGTCATTTATTTAAAGTGTATGTTAAGAGATAGAATAATTAATAATTATTCAGCTGTCCTCCACAGCATCCTAAGTGGTATACAAAATACCTTACCAGCTAAAGGGAGCAAAAATGAACCACTGACTTCCTGCAAAAGAAGCTTAATTACTGTTCTGCTCCTTATGCTCATGTCTTCAACAGAATGAAGTTGCCAGGTTCATTAAGGCCTCCATGTCCAATTAATTAGCACTCTTAGGTGTACCTTGAACCCCTTTTGGAATATAGTGGATGTAGTTCCTACCATGTCTTTCAGGTAGTGAATAACTACTTAAAGCTCTTTCATACCAAGACCTCTAGTTGGTTTGTCAATTTAAATATGATTAATTACAATTTTTCCTCATTTCTGAGGTGTAGTTATCTGCTTGGAAAATACTCACTCTGAATGTTAGGAAGCTGGAATTTCCAGTGAATGAAGAGCCCTCTGGGACTTCCAGCCACTTCTCATTTTATGTTGTACCTTTGGGTTGAGACTGCATAAACAGATCTGGACTTCTTACAGTATAAGGAATTTAAACTGTTCTAAAGGATCCCTCTAAAAGAAAAAAAAAATAGAAATAGCTCCTGATCTGAGAAAGAAATGTGTTTTCAGTGCTATGACTTGAGTACCTGTTTCTTATCTTTCCATAGGTATGATTTAAAGTTTCACTTGTGTGTCTTTAAGCATATATTGGTTCAATCCAAAGTATTACTGAAATGGAAGTCTCATTATTCTGTGAGACCTACACATAAAAATTTTCCAAGTCTGTCAAAAATTTTTATTGCATGTAATGAAGGGATATGAGTCTTTACTCAACAAGACATTATGGGTGCTGTAGTACTCTAAAATCAGTTGACAGATTATGTACCAGCATATGTGGGAAAATTCTGATACCTGTTTTTTTTCTGCATATCTGCATAAAGATAATTCAGTTTGCCTTTATTCCCTGAGCAGATAAAAGGAGATTGGAAGAAAAGACAAGGAGATTTTAGTCAGTAGTATAACTTGTAAGTGATGATTAACAAATTCAGTGCCTAATGATTTTTTTTCCCCTTTTGATGTTTTCCTGTGCATTGTTCCAACACCAACGTCTAGTTTCTAATGGGAAATTCCATTTAGTTCAATGCAATTTAGATCTCATGACCCAGGGCTGAGTTGTTCTGCATGGCATTTCTTGCAAGATTGGGGTTTAATGTATGAATTTGGGGAAATCTTCTGTGGGAGACTGTTGCATGGTCCAGTGTCTTATTTCATTGTTTGTTGAGCATAGCAAGAATGTTTAGTGTCTGGGAGAGTCTTGCTCTCTGACCCTTGGAGCAGCTTTCCAGCCGCTCTTCCCCAAGCCTGTAGTTTTGCATGGAGTTGTCGTGACCCAAATGCAGGACCCGGCACTTTGCTGTGTTGAACCTCATACCACTGGCCACAGCCCAAAGACATGGATAAACAGGAAACTGCCTCTTGCAGGTTTGTTAACATACATTGTCTTTGAAGTTAATTTTGCAGCTAGATAAATCCCAAATAATCTCACTGAGGGGAAGTTGTGGCGTATTTGGACTAAGAAAGTTTGGTGATACGCACATAAAACTGAAAAGTTCTCGAGGAACAATCCTGTCATAAATAGTGAAGTAGTTAAAATGAACCTGATACAGCCTTTCAACCTGTAACTTCCAATTCTAGAGATAATCTGTGTTTGCTTGTCTAATAACATGCGTTATTTGTTCTGTTTTCATGGTCTGACATAACAGGTATCTTCTTACCGTTCTGATTTGGCTTGTAGACTATCAGGAGAGTTAAACTTTGCCTTGATGAACCTGTCACATTTTGTTTGCTTCTTTTCACTGCAGTCATCATCAGGAGAGCAACCTAAATGCCAAATGAAAGCTATTCTTAAAAGATGGTGGCTTTTTCTTTTTCTTTTTTTTCCGAAAGATGGACAAATTAGTGACCTTTTGTGGAATCAAACATAGGAGAAGCCTTAGCATTGTCCAGTAATAACAGTAATATGAAAAATAATTAGTGCTTGACATTTATCTCATGCGTGGAGCAGCTCTGCTTTTCACTTTGTGAACCCCAGCTGGCAGTTGGCATGATAGGATGTTTTAGATACCACGTCTTTGATGTATTCCAGCACTACAGAAGAGAAATACAAATCTCCCTAATAGCCGAAAACAAGTTAATGCACTTGTCCGTGAAGGGGGGCCTGGGAGGTACTAATTTTACAGTCATGAGAATGGATCAATGCAGAATAATTGAATCTCAGCCTTTTCTGTGTTTGGCTAACTCCAGTTCTTAGGATAATGTGGAATGAAAAGCTCAAACCAGTGTTGTTGTCTTTGCATAGAATGATAAAGCTAACCTGCTTAGCAGAGTATTTGTTTCACATTTCTAATCTTTGAACAGATAATTACCTCATTTATATGAAAGTTAACTTCTATGCACTTACAGTCCTTCGTAGAACTTCCTGTGGAAGAACAGGCTATTGAAAGTATGTATGCGTGAAATGACAAAATAAGGGAAGGTTATGTCACTTCATGCGTATCCTTTGTGTGTATCCAAAAAGCCTTTACTGAAGGTGTGTCTCTGTGCATTAATATCCCATGAGTGGCCAATTTACTTCATTTTTTTTTCATTATCAAAACCATTGAGCACTGTTAATTTTCAAAACAAAGGCTACAAAATTAAGAAGTAGAGATACAGAAATAGGGCAGTGGAAAAATATAAAGTGATTAAAAAACATAGTTCTAACTAGAGTTGTTCAAATAAAAAAAAAATTAAAAAACCCAATTAGAAACAAAAGTCATAGAAAATGTGAACATATTGTGTGCCTTAAATAACCAGATGTTCTTTCCTTCCTGAAGGCAGCCAGGGCTAGGAATAAAAGGCTTAAAACTATTGTTTTAAGTTAACTGTGAATTTTGCAAATCTGTTTTCACCCTTTAGCAAATAAAATTCTAATACAGCAACATGAGCAATGTAATTTTCATCGTTGGGTGTTCTTATTTGTATGTTGTTCCATGTCGAAGTGTTAACCTTATCATAGTGACTTATTAGAAAACTGAAGCACTGCATAGAGCATTGCAGTTTCACATTGCATACTAAGAACCTGCCAACCATCTTTTGTCTGAAAGCTTACTGTGTTTATTCCCTATATGTTTGTAAAATAAGTTAGCTTTCAGATACTTTAATGTCATGAGTTACCCTATTCATTGAGCAAGCTATTTAGAAGACAGCTTTATCATAAGCCATTGATTCAAAAAAAGAAAAAAGTTGTTGTGCTTGGTTGATGGGAATTAATTTGTTATCCTAATAATATTCTAGTTACTGCTGCTGATATTTTTTCAGTGTTGTATTTTAAGCTATTTGCTGACATTGAGAGGGGCCGTATAATAATATTAAATTCTAACTAAATCCTTGATGAAGCCTACATGACATTTCACAGAAGTTGTATTAGTTTTGTCATGAATGAAATTACAGGAACTGCCAGAAAACTTAAGCAATAATATCTGGTCATGATTACTCATATAACGATTAGTTGGAGAAATCTGTATTCCGGCTTTTAACACTTTTCACAATCTGAGCAATGAGTGACAGGGGGAAAACACATTACTGAAATTTTGAACTGAACTCTTTGTACATTTATTTTCAGCTGAATTTTCTTCTTAAGTAGCTGCCACCATCTCAGAGTTTTCTCCAAGCTAGTTTCATGTGCCTGAAAGGCTGTTGAGTTTCACTTTCTTCTTCTTCAGATAAATTCTTTTCTATACACTCATTAGCTGAGGTGCC